TATATATATATATATATATATATATTAAAACTTACCTAAATCTAAAATAAAGCATCAAACAAATCATGCCTTTATATACTCCTGAGTTGCAATAGTTTCTCTAAAAATTTAAAAGTATTAATCTCATTTTTATGTTGATAACAAACATTCATGAAAAAGGAAGATGTCTGATATAAATAAACAAATAAATTATTAGAAATTAGATTCCACAAGAAGAGATAGAGGAGAGACCAATTTGTTCTAATGATGACTTCAATAAAAACCCTCAGTGATAATAATGCATATGATTTCTGAATGGTTATCCATTATTAAATTTTCTTTAGAAATTAAATGTAGATTAGGGAAATGAGAAAGAATGAATTTGACTTTAAACTTAATGATAAATGATAGTTTTATGTAATTCATATATTTTATGTTGTTCTGCTTTTTTGATAATTGAATTTTAATTATATTTCATATAATATATCACTTGTCACTTTAAGTCTTATGAAAATTTTTTATTCATATGTATGCCAATTTGTTACTTCATAATTCAATTAAAAGTAATATGATATTCTTTGACATATTATTCGAGTATTATATAAAAAAATCATTTTTTAACATTTATTTTCACATTATGTAATTTTTGTATTTTGGGACTTATGCCTAAAAAAGACTTGAGGCCTCACGAATGAAAAGCACCTCAATACTCAATTGTGCAATTTTTAAACATTAATTAAAACTTATAATATGAGTTTGTATTTCCTCTTTTTTATGTCTTTATGTATTTTAATATTTGGCGAGACAACTGAATACACACTCACAAGGATCAAAATTAAATATTTGATTTCTCTGTTAAATTATGTTGTATTATCTCAATCATACTATACGATCGCAATCGTACTGTACAATTAATTGGTCTAGAAAGTAAATCAAATAGTTTATAAAATTAATCAAATGAAAATACATCATAATTAATTGTATCGTACATTGTGATCGTATACGATGATTAGTTATTTTGATAAATACCCACTTGAAATTCTAGATTTTCAATAAAAGATAATTTTAAAATTTGAATAAATCGTACTATACAATCTTGATCATACTATACAAATAGTATTGAACTTGCCTATTTTAATCCATTAATCAAATAATAGAGTCAGATCAAATCTTAATTACAATTCATACTATACAAATCTAAATCCTACAAAACGAGCGAATAAAACTCTCCCTAGCGACAATTATTCTTCTAGGACAAACGTTAAGCTAATTCTATTAACCATACGATTCAATTCATATCGTGCACTCCAAACTAACATTACTCAAATAAGAGCATTTTCACATATTGAATTAATTACACAGTACAATCCACACTTTGTAATGTACGATCAGTCTATTAAAATTAAAACTTAAGATTTGATTTAAATAATTAACTCTGATTCTTTATATAAGAAGTGTGTGAAGCAAGTGAATAACTAGAATCATTTTTCTCTGAGAGAGAATGCTTTGGAGAGGATGGTTTTCTCCTACCTTGAGAGAGCTTGTGAAAACCATTTGAAAGAGAATGTGAGGTTGAGTTATTATTCCTTAGAGAGTGAAGGGTTGTGACGGAGATCACATGGTTGTTTTCATCGATTTACACTTTAGTCTTCTTGGTTATGTGTTTGGAGATGAGCTATAAGAAGAAAGTCATTGGGTGAAAGACTTATGACTAGTTGGTGAGGCTGGGGGATTTTCATCTCAATTATTGTGAGGAGGGTGAAGGCATATTTACTGTATTAGGAAGCAGGACATGATTTTCACAAGGAAGAGCTTGTAAAGGTTATTCTCCATCTGAGAACGGAGAAGGGTTTCTCCACCTTACTGACTGCAGGATGGTGTTGACTAGTGAAATTCCCAAGAAAGAGGATCATAGGGAGTGGACATAGGTCAAATTCGATCGAATCACTATAAAATCTCAGTTTGCTTTTCTTTTATTTTTCTAAATTTTTTGTTCCTCACAACATCATGATATGGATATATCATCTAAAATTTTGTTGTGGTTACATTCAAGTAAAACTTAAGAAAAATTTATCAATAAAAAATATTGTTTGTTTGAACTCAATTTTTAAATTAAGCATTTGGTAAAATATAAAATTTTGTTGTGGTTACATTCAAGTAAAACTTAAGAAAAATTTATCAATAAAAAATATTGTTTGTTTGAACTCATTTTTTAAATTAAGCATTTGGTAATTTTTGTAGCTCTAAAAAATAAAATAACTAAATAATTAAAATATTTTTGGCACTTTATGTCTTAAAGTTTTCACTAGTGTTTTAAATTTTTCTGCTTCAAATTTTATTGTTCCTTATTTAAATTTTTAAATAACCAATTCCTCCTATTGGTTGTACCACAACACTTTCACTATTTTTACATTGAATTAAGCTCAAATTAAAAAAATAAAGAGGAAATATCCTATATTTTGATATATTTAATCTTCCTCAAAACTATTTAATCAACCTTCATATTGCGCTCAATATTTTGAACAATAACAATTATAAATTTATCTACTCATGTTATTGTTGTGGCTAATCAAAGCACTAACATGTAAAATCAAGATTGATGCACCAATCAATTCCCAAACACCATCTTCTACACTATCAGACATCACATCCACCAACGGCCTCCATCAAGCATCAATGTGGTAAAATTCATCTTCCTATCCCACTGATCTCGTCCAACTTCTTATCCCAATCTTATGAACATCTCCACAAATTCTAAAGCCGTTGCCTTCACTTCTCATTAAAAGCCTAGGGTAGCATAAACATATCTTTTCATGCCCCTTTTCCATCGTTACACTAGAATCATGATCATTTTTTATAAAAATGTTGAAAAGTGAGCGAAAGGTGAAGAACATGCAAAAGTTCTAGCAAAGGAAGAAGGCATGCAACCAATGTGCTTGTGAGGAGTATGGCAAACGATTAGTTCAGCAAGGGAAGTGCAAGTCATGCACAAAAGCTTAGCACTTGCACTCCCGTGCACACACCGAGAAGACAAATCAACAATATTTGTATATAAGCAACGATGAATTGCAAATCAAAGGAGATTCTTTACACATTTTACTGTTGTGGGTGATCAATGACTCTTACGGGTTCGGGATGAGACAAACAATAGAGTTAAGTGAAGCAAAACAAACTAGTCTGATTAAGAGGTTGTCTTGTTGGGTGATTTTTAAATGGATGAATTTTAGAAATGTCAAGCAATTGAAATATATATATTTTAAAAAAAGATATGAGTTGTTTGGTTAGATGCAAATCAAATGCATTGAAAGTTTTTTGATGATATATTTAAAATATACTGAAATATGAGAGGTAGGCAAACTAGTGGAAAACGACTAAGAGTGGTGGAAGTTGGCGAATGTCAATGATGATGAACAACAATGTGAGACTACTAGCAACAATGACATATAGCAGTGAAGAAGAGTGGCAGACAACAACTTAGAATGACAATCACCAACGAAAGATAGTGGGTGATGAATAGTGGTGTGGACCAACATTATTCGATGGTGGAGGCGATGACAATGGGTAGCAATTGTTAAGAGCGGCTGTGATAATTGGACACAATTGATGGGGAAGCCGAGGTCATGAGCTATAAGTTTTTCTTGCATTTGAAATTCACCCAATATGGGTGAATTTATTGGGTGAATTTTAAATTCATCAAAAATAAGTATTTTGGATATTACAAATCCCCTACAAAAATATTTAAGACTTTATTTAGGCTTTGTTCCGGACGGTTTTCTTACTATTTCTTAAAGTAGCTTTATGATATAAAAATTAAAAATTTTATATTAAAAAACAGCTTTAAAAAGTAGTAAGAAACCCGACCCAAACGAAGCCTTAGGTTGAACCAAATACCAACAAATTAAAAACAATTCCATTTATTTTACTTTGCACTCATAATATAACACTTTAGGCGGTTTTCGAATAAAAAAGGATCATAGCTTATGAGGTATATCAAATATATTAGAAATTTAGGAATTATCTTTTCTCCAAACCAAACATTGAAAATAAATAAAGACATTGCATTTCTTTTTAGACCCAAAACATGCAACCAAAATAACCCTAAATTAAATCAAATGGGTTATAAAAGAGTTTTAGGTGTGGTATTTCTGTGGCCCTAAAAACAGTTTTAGGTGTTAGGCAAGTATATATGTTGTTCTAAAAAAAAAAAATATTATATATATTATTTTAGGTGTTAGATATATAAATAATGAACTATTAGGAGTAATGTATATAAATCCCCCAATTATCAAATTATGAGGACTTAGTTCAAACACCACCCATAAAATCCAGTTCCCATCCTCAAGCAGGCCAAAGCTAGAAACACAACAAATTCCTTATAGGATGGTAGCCAAAGAAAATAAAAGCAGAATTTAAAATCATGAATGAAGGGATGAAAACTGATAATCAACCCACTTGCTTACCAAAATTTCCATTCATGGCGACCAATCCAAAGTGTAAAAATAAGAGAGGAAGAATGGGTGTTGCCAACCTCTGCTATCATTGGAGAATTGTTAATGAATAGATAAATCATGAAGTAGATATCATGATTGATAATTTATAAACCTTCATAACCAGCAGCAGGATAATAGTTTGAGAATCAATAGAATTTCTTTTAATCTATTTCAACTTCAAAATCAATAGTTCCCCAGCAAAATCAATAGTTCCCCATTGCATATTCATAGAGCCATGTTACTACAACTTAACCTTGTAAGCCTCCAGCAGTTCTGGAACTACATCGCTGTACTTATCTATACACTTCTCCAAAAAAACACTCTTACTCATGAGCAAGAGCGTTGGGAAGCTTAATTTTGTGTTTGGAAGTCCCCTTGTGGTCAAGATATTGAAGACAGTATATCTGGGAACAATCCTGTTCTCCAAACTAAGGCTCAAGACAATGGGCAGTGACGCCAGGCGGCAGGGCTCCCACTTAAGATTCTTCATGAAGAAGCCCATAATTTTTCTAATCTTCTCCTCAGAGAGAAGCATGCAAAAAGGGGACCTTCTAAAAGCAGAGATAGTCTCCTCCTGCGACCAGCCTAAGCTGCGGTAAAGTTTCATCTTCCTCTCCCAGGTCGCCACGGTCAGCCCGGAAACCACATTGATCCCTATAACGAACATACATTTCGAAGGTTTCAACCCCATCTCCTCGACCAAAGCCACCGATTTGCTGAAACGGCCAGGTTCCTGCGTGATTGCTCTCGGGCACCATGTGAAGAGTCTGGCTATGTTGGCGTCGCTAACGCCATACTTTCTAAGCGTCTCCACGTTGGGCAAAACACGCTTATTGGGATCAAGAAGAAGGATCCAGGCGGAGCGAGAGATGGCAGAGGCAGCCGCTTGCCGGTCGCCGCTAAGAATGGTCATCAATAGACTTAGGTTGGGGCTGAGCTTCCTCTCCAGGCTGGACTTCAGGATAAAGGGATACTTGGAGAGGAGGTTTGTGAGGGCCGTTGCAGTGAAGCCCGCAGTGACGAAAAGATCGATCTTGGGCTTGATGCATTTCTCTGCGTTGTAAGTGAATAGAGACGGGTGCTTGGAGGCGATGACAGCGATCTGAGATTTTGTAAATCCGTAGTTTCTGAGGAGGCTGAGAACGGATTCAGCATTTGTGGAAAACTTTAAGTTTGTCTTGGCAGCCGCAGCGATGGCGACCGAAGGGGCCAAACCGCAGGAGGTTTCGAGAAAGGACACGGTGAAGTTCGGATCAGGTGAAGAGGAGAAGGGGATTAGGGTTTTGAACTTGGGTTCACGGTGAAGGAGATGTCTGGTAGACCTGCCGGCTTCGGGAAACCACAGGCGGAACCGGGTTCTAACAGTTAAAAAGCGAAACATCTGGTTGAACATTTTGGCGAGAAGCGGGACGATTACTCTATTGGGCGGCCACAACGTCCGCTCTCAGGTAAATTATAACAAAATCTAAAGCCATCTTCCAGCATCCTGCAAAATTTTAGGAATTTTAACGTAGATAAAATTTAAAATTATTAGAAATATATATTAATCATTTAAATTTTTATATTTACGAATATACCATCTAAAACCTCACTTTTCATCTATTCTAACAATTCATTTAACCACCGTCAGAAATCCATATCCACCTCGATTTCACACGCAACTGCTCCGTTCGTTCGAGCGACTGATTGTTTTCCCCGCCTCGTCTTCTCCATCAAGCTGTTCTCTAGTATGTCGCTTTTCTTCCAAGGAAAATTACCAAGGAAAAATTTGAGAGAGACAACAAGCGACTGTCGCATTTAGTTGTTTGTCTTCCATAAGGAGTCCTCCACTCGTGTGTTAGTCCATCGAGTAAGAACGCCACCTTCCAAACAGTGAGTGATCGTCAATTTGGCTAACTCATTTTGACTCACTTTTTCACTTTGGGTAACTCATTTATTATTTGCATACATAAAAATAGATTCTAGTAATTTTTGCTTCATTGTCCTCAAATTTGGAGGATATTGGAGTGAGGTGCTGGGTCAGAGTCGAATAAAGCATGTGAGAATGTTAGAAAAAGCTAAAGCTTCGAAGAGATGAAATCAGTTTGTTGTTGTTAAAAGAACGAGTTAAAGCACTTTGTTATTGGTCAAGGGGTCAAGATTTCGACTTACACTATCATGTCCATGGAACATCACCTAAGAATTACATGTTGGTTTCAAGCGATTCAGATGTAGTTGACATGCTTAGCAGTATTTCTGAAAAGAATAGAATTGAGGTGGTTCTCGTAGTGAATTATCATGAGGAATATATGTCTCAATCACAAAACATTGAAACTGCAATAGAAAACCAGTTAAGTGAAAAGCATAAGTTCAACTTGAAGATTGAGAGAACAATGATATTATACTAGAAGACCTTTGTGATGATTTCCTTATACGTCAAACTGAAAGTTAAGGAGATCTTCAAAATCAGACCGCAAGTTTACTCTTACTTGAATTTGTTGTCGTGCAAGTAGTCTTAGGCAACTTTTTTGTAGCACATTAAAAATCATTACAATAAGACAACATATTAGAATCTTTTAATGCATGGGTTGAACAAGCTAGAAGTAATTAAGCTCGTTACTGACTTGGTCGACATGATTAAGGAAATGCTTATGCAACAACGCTCTCAAAGAAAGGTAAACTCTGGCCCTTGGAAAGGTCAACTAATTCCTCATGTGGAAGAGTACATTAGGGACATCACAATGAGGAAAGAGAGTTTTATGAATACTAGCAAAATTTATGAGTACTACCACATTTTCTTAGTAGCACTTATTCTGAATGCCAGCAAGTTGGTGTAATAGTTGAATGCTTCTGTTTGAGGACCAACACTTATTTTGAATGTTTCTGTAGATTTGAGTTAGCCAAACAAAACTTGCCAGCGTCTATTTTGAATGCATTTGCAACTTTTATCTATTTTGAATGCATTTGCAACTTATGTTGTTGCTATTACTACTCTGATGTTTTGCATTGACAAATAAGCTAAAGCTTAAGCAGTCATTAAGGCATATTAAATTGGTCATAAAGAATGCACATTTGGATCCCAAGCTCACTATTTTCTCAGTCTTGTGGTTCGTCATCTTGCTTGTACATGGACAGAATTTGTGCTGCAATCTTTGGATTCCACGACAACCACAAAAAGTATTAACAAAAGCCATCAACTAAATTCTACAAATTTCATAGCTAAAGGAATGTATTAATGACTTTAAAACAATTATGTACTAACCACAAAATTAAGATCCTAAGTAGAAGCAGGACTTGAGCTTATGGATACGTTCTATGCCATCACCACAATAATGACTTGAATATTTTTCTAGCATGCATTCCATAACAAGGATTTACTGGAATCAAACACGAAAGATAGTAGCCTGTATTCGACGACATTATGGCATGTATTAACAATAATTTCACTCACAACAGATAGGATGTTCATTCACAAGAAAAGAAACATATATTAACAATTACAATTTCTGGTGTATCACCATAGTTACATTCATCTATTCTTGAAACCAAATTAAGAAATTTTACTCAAAGTTACATTCAAATCAAAATGCGAATCAACAATTACAATTATAGCTCATGAGCGGAGATTTCACAGCGATTGCTACAATAAAAATTAGGATAACCATGATCACCAATAAGATTTTTTTATGTAAAAGCTTGGCTCTATCTCAAACAATATGAGTTGGGCTGGTATCAGCAACATTTTTACTTCTTCGTAATTCATATCAGGCGACAAATCATTTAGTTCATCACACTACCAAAAAAAATCACAATCGCCTTCCACTACTATACGATTTGTATGATGTATATATTGTACATTACAAATTGCAATATATTTGATTACTTGTGTTTCTGATTGGTGTTGCCGAGAAGCTGGAACTTATTATAGAATGCATTCATGACTAGAGAAGCTAGCAATAAAAATGCACCTTCAAAATAAAGAATTAAAGGTCTCAGCAATGCTATCATATCATATGAAAACAACAATATAAAGAAGGGAAAATAAAAAAAACTGGCGAAGGGCACAACTTTATATGACCCTTCAACAGTAACTACCCCAAGGCTACATAGAAAATGAAGAAAACAATGACAACATCAACTAGCGAAGGGTACAAACGCAATCTAACCCTGTAAGAAGAATTTAATGCAAATTATTGTGGATAAATAAATTTATCAATATATTATATATTATATCTTATTTATGTCTTAAATATTTATATTTTTATGAATAAATTGGATCCCTCTTTCGTTGTAGCAAGCTCGATGCAGAGGGCCCTACAATCCACCAATTTAATAGAATATAATCAAGTAGGCCATTATTATGCATATGTTTGGAGTTGCAAAATATCTATTTAAGAGCAACTGATTTGAACTATGAAAGCACCATAGTTAGCTTCTATCCATCTTGTTTTCATTTTTTTTAATAGTTGTTTTATTTGTTTTAAAGTCATTCTATCTTGTAGTTTTAAGAAAGCCTATAAAGGGTCCTCCAACCATTTTTTAGAGCATTTAGTAACTTGGGAAAGGTAGAAAAGGGGAGACATCATCCAATCATTGATTGAAAAAAATGTTGGTTTAATGTTGTATTCCATTATTATATGCATTTTTGGACATTGGATCTTGATCAACCATTGATGAAGCTATCTGAGGAGGTAATAAGAACACATTGCAACTGTATAAAAGTATTCTTAATAGGATCTAGATAGAAACAAGTGCATGAAAAGTTTATGGACATAAATCTTCATACATTTGAGCTTAATTTTTCTCAAAGAAGATAAAATGAGTTGACAAGGTTCTACATGGTGGGTTGGGAAGGGGGGGGGGCGGACCCTCTGAAAATTTAAAAGATATTGTAAGCAGTGAAATATTTATGAGAATCAATATTAAAATGTGTTATCTTTAAAAATAATTTCTAATAATTAACATGTTATTTTTATTTTTATATAAAGTAATTTATTAAAAAAATTTCAAATTTTTTTTTTTTCAAAATGAACAACAATATTCAATGCAAAAAAAAAAGCAAAACAATAAAAATTATTAGCCCAATTTTATAGTGGTTCAAACAAACTGACTTATGTCCACTCGTCAAGAACTCCATTAACCAGCTCCTATGTAGCATGAAGGAGAAGCCTCTCCTTCACAAGGACATGGAGACCACCTTTTTACTCCCTTCTCTCCTAGGAAGTCTTCCTTGTTTTACACCCAAAATGATAGAAATGCCTCCCTAGCATCCTCAGCTAAATAGAGAGTCTTCCACACCAATCTCGAGATCTTTCACCCAAGAAACCTCATACTCTACAACCTAAGGAAAAAGGACATGGATTGAGACGAATGAACTTTATGCACCACTCTCACAAACCAATCTCTTGGACACCCTTCCAAGATATCCCTCATCTTTAGTCTAACCCCCCTCTATCTCTCTCCCTCGAGCAAAAAATATGACTCTTAAAAAGCTCTCCAAAAGTATCTATAAATAGTTCTCTCTCTCATCCCTATCATATCTCCCAAAATTACTCCAAACTAGACAAACATAGACACTAGAAGGCCAGAGACACATTCTCTTTTTTTAAGTTAAATATTTATATTAAAACTTTAATTAAATACTTAAAATCTTGATTATGTTATTTTTATAAGCTGATCATACATTAAAATGAATAGATAATGTAGTATGATATGTTCAATGATTCTAACTCAAGGAACCAAATCTTCTAGTCATAATGAGGTTCATGAAACCAAGCTCTATATTTTTTGGACTGTATAATTATTGTCATATAGTACTATCACATCCTATAATATAATTTGAAAAAATTCTTTTGTTATAATATAATAATGATAATAAGAGTTTTTTCATTTCTTTTATAAATAGCATAAATATTAGTGGAAATGAATCTAGAAATTAAAATATCAATACACATTTACATTCATACTCCCAAAATTATATACAATACCTAGGAGCCATACAAATACAACACCCATCTTTGCACTCTTGAGTACAAAAGAATATCATAAGAGAAAAAGAAATAAATAATAGTATAATTTGAGAAATCTTGCAACTAATCACTCTCACACTCTTGATTCTCTTCCCTGACCTGAAATCATTTAAACCATGTTTGATGAGCTAAAAAACCTAGCATATGACTTAATACTATAACTAAACTTAAAGGATGGCAAAGAAGCAGTGTGCATGTCGTTAGTTAGTTTATAATAGTAGTAGTCAATATGATCATGAATCTATGCAAAAATGGTAAAATACATGTAATAATTATATTGCATTTAAAATTGTAAACTAGTTGGTACGAAGGCCTATAAAATAGGGTAGTACATAAACAGTGAAATCTCTAAACTAGTAATCTAATAAACCAATATGGATCTTAAATGGATGAAGCAATCATCATAACAATACTATAAAATCAATGAGAAATTCATAT